AAATATATTGGTGCAATAAGCATGCTGCCAGCGGAGTTGATGGGAGAAGAAAAAGATTGGTAATGGTGATATGGTGCGGGTCCCACTTGGACTTTTTGGCACAACACTTTTTTGTTGATGCAATTGGTCACGTGGGTTTGGTCTAATGGAGTGTGATTTTGTATGTAATGATGTGAAAAGATAATGATAAAGATGGAAATGTGGTGGTGGCGGGGTCCACTTGGGATTTTTGATATTTGTTTGGTGAGTAGAAGGTGGGTTAGTGTCGGTTCAATTTGCCTTTATATACTTGGTATAGTTTTGTGACTTTGAAAGATGATACAAATAAAGAAAAATAAAGGAAAGTTGAGATGAGAGACAGTGAGTCGAGAGCTCACAGAGAGAGAGAACGACAGAAAGGGCCGAGATTGAGGAGGTGTACAGTGAGAGGTCTGAGAGTTGTAGAGGCGGCCGGGAGCTTGAGGCTTTGATGATTCAATGAGGAAAATCTTTTTCAGCGTAGGGTTCTCTATACCCTGAATGACTTGGAGTGGTTTTGCTTCAAATGGTTTTTATTAAATGTTTTATTTAAATGCATAAGTATTTTGTTTATATACGCACATGAATATGTATATTTTGTGAAGCTGTTTTATTAAACCTCCATGAAATTTTTGTTATGGTTTTTCCTACTGGGACTATTTGTCTCACCACCCTCCAGTTTCAGATACCGAAGATGAACGGGGATTGTTAGTTTCGGGCTTAGGCGGAAGAGTCGGCATTGCAGGATTTATTTTATTTATTTGGAGAATTTTTGTGTATATTTGAGGAAATTGATTTTGTATAAAAGAGGACATTTTCTAATGATCTTGGGTGTATTTTGATGTATTTGGATTTGTATAAATCGATGATTTTATTAGAATTTTCAGGACGTGACACATGGATGTTTCGATGTTTTGTCGTTTTATTGTTGTCTTGTGGATGCTCCTGGACCGCCCTTCCTATGGAGGGTGATTTGGCGTACAAGGGCTCCTCTCAAAGTAGTGTTTTTTGCATGGACATCTATTTTGGAAAAGATTTTGAACCAGGACAATCTCTAGAGAAGAAGACAGATTGATGTGAACTGGTGGTTTATGTGCAAAAATGACGAGGAAACGGTTGATCATGTTCTTTTACATTGCCCAGTGGCCCGAGATTGTTGGCTTTTGTTTTTGGGTTTGTTTGGGATTCATTGGGTTATGCCACGGTATACCAGAGCCATGATTGAGGCGTGGTGAGGTTGTATTGTGGGGGCTCAAGTTCGAGATTCTTGGAGGGCTACTCTGGTGTGCATTTGGTGTCTTGAAAGAAATAGGAGATCCTTTGAAGGAAAGGAAAACAATATTGGTTGTTGAAGTTTTCCATTCTTAGCATCCTTTTTGTTGGTTCCAGGGAGAAATTGTAAATCCTTGGATGAGCTTGTAGAGTTTTTGGATTTATTGAGGGTTTAAAGGTCCTTGTTGTAAAGTATAAAACGGAAGTGAAGAGAAATTAAACAAGTAGAACACACATATATTACGTGGTTCAGCCAGCACAAATAGCCCAAAGGCTTTTACAACAGTCTCTCAATTCATATATACTACGATGGTGGAGGGTCCTCTATATAGGAGAAGAAATTATGAGAATGGAAAGAATTAGAAAATTGGAAATAAGGAGGATTTTTCTCCACTGATTCCTCTAGTAACACCAAATCTTCAATAATAGAAACAACATCAATTACTGGAAAATTTTCCTCCACTGATTCCTCCTCAAGTTGGAGTATGAATGCCCAACTTGCCATTGATATGACGGGTAACAACAACCGTGAATGATGAAGAGAGAAGAGAGAAGACGAAGAACAATGCTACCGAACACACCGACACCCCAAATAAGTCAACAAAAAACTGTCGGAGACATGACTATCGAACACATGGGTAGCCCAAACAAGTCGATAAAAACTGCCGGAGACACGAGTCACGACAAAGACGAAGACAATGCTACTGAACACACCGACAGTCTAAACAAGTCAACAAAAAACTGCCGGAGACACGGCAAAGGCGAGGACAATGCTACACCGGTGGCCGAAACAAATCGATAAAAATTGTTGGAGACATGACAAAGGCGAAAAACATTACTGTCGAACAAACCGGCAGCCTAAACAAGTCACAAATAGCACTGAGAAACCTTTAGCAACATTTCAAACGCTAAGGGAATACCCCAAAATAGGGGTCCGAACCTAGGAAGAGAAATTAGGCTCTGATACCATGTTGTAAAGTATAAAACGGAAGAGAAGAGAAATTAAACAAGTAGAACACACATATATTATGTGGCTCAGCCACTAGGGCCTATATCCACGCTCAAAGAGCCCAAAGGGCTACATCATTTTTATAACACTCTCTCAATTCATATACAATACTAGTAAGGAGGATTTTTCTCTACTGATTCCTCTAGTAACACCAAATCTTCAATAATAGAAACAACATCAATTACTGAAAGAATTTTCTCCACTAAATCTTTAATAGTCCTATTTGTTAGCAAATATGATAGCCACGATTTTATGGAATGACTTACCGTATTAGTATAGATCTGATTATGCTATAGAATATGACATAGAATATTCTGTGATCTGATTTAGATTTGATTTTATTTCCTTTCTTTGATTTAGATTTGATTTTATTTCCTTTCTTGTAATATGAGCATGTGCTCTTTTTTATCTATAAATACTAGAGTTGTGAATGAGTGATTATTTTATTCAAGCCTTTACACAATTCTCTCATTTTCCTTCTATATTGTATTTCTACTTAGTATCAGAGCCAGGGTGGTCCGACTGCAATGAGGGCATTGCAAGTTCGGCACCACCCATTCGGGAATGGTCTAAGGTGAGATCGCCCATTCGGGAGGTGTCGGGTAGGCAGGGTGATCCGACTTCAATGAGGGTGTTGTGAGTTTGACACCACCTATTCAGAAATGGTCTGAGGAGACATAGTTGTTTTTTTTTATTGTCTGAGGAGACATTGTTTATTCTTTCATCTACATTGTTTAAACATATGTATGAAGGGGAATGGTCTGAGGAGACATTGTTGATTCTTCCATCTACATGTTTTAAACATGTGTATGAAGGAAAATGGTCTGAGGAGACATTGCTGGCTGTTTACGGTCTAAGGAGACATGATTGGTTATTTATGGTCTGAGGAGGCATTTTTGATTTGTTGATCGGCACTTCATTTGAGAGAAAATCATTGTTAGTCAGATTTGCACTCTGCAACTTGTAGATTCTGAAGAAGGGTGCTAGCAGGACCGTGTTTGAAGATGCTTTGTCCAAGTTGGGGATGTCAGATAGCACGCGCCAACTTGAGGGGGAGTGTTAGCAAATATGATAGCGATGATTTATGGAATGACTTACCGTATTAGTATAGATCTGATTATGCTATAGAATATGCCATAGAATATTCTGTGATCTGATTTAGATTTGATTTTATTTCCTTTCTTGTAATATGAGCATGTGCTCTTTATTATCTATAAATACTAGAGTTGTGAATGAGTGATCATCTCATTCAAGCCTTTACATAATTCTCTCATTTTCCTTCTATATTGTATTTCTACTGTATTCCTTTTGAACGCTTTTAATGATTTTTTACTTATCCAAAAAAAAAAGAGAGCTTATTTTCAGAATCCTTTTCCAACCCAACTTGGTGTAAATGGGTTCTCACACTCGTCCCCGTTCTAAGTGATGTCCTCATGCAATTTGACGGTATCGATGCACTTGATTGTTCAGCTCCAATGATCAAGATCTAAATAAAAAATAAATTACAACTCAGATCAACACATGTTTTGACACTGCAATTTGCCAACACAAAACTAAATTTCTCACATTTATTTATATGGAAGCTCAAATAGTTCAGTAATATTTGTAAACCCTTTTCCATAGGCTGAAAGGCAATTTCAGTTGTTAGCTTTGTCATTTATGTTAGCTTTGTCATTTATGTTAGCCGAGATATGACAGGCGCAAATCATGGGATGTGACTTACCATATCATCTGAGATATGATATGTCTAGGTATAAAATATGCAATGATTTTATTCAGTTTCCTTTATTATAATATTAACATGTACTCTTTTTAATATATAAATATGAGTGTTGTGAATGAGTGTTTTTACATCTCATTCAAACCTTCTACATATTTCTCTTTTCTTTCTTCTATATTATATTTCTTCTTGGTATCAGAGCTAGGGTTGTCTGATTGTAATGAGAGCATTGCTAGTTCGACACCACCCATTCGAGAATGGTGTAAGGAGAAATCCCTCATCTGGGAGGTGTTGAGTAGGCAGGGTTGTCCGACCTCAATGAGGGCATTGTAAGTTCGAAACTACCCATTCGGAAATTGTCTGAGGAGACAACGTTGCTTTTTTATTGCCTGAGGAGATATTTTTTATTCTTTCATTTAGATTGTTTAAACATATGTATGAAGGGGAATGGTCTGAGAAGGCATTGTTGATTCTTCTATCTACATATTTTTAACATGTGTATGAAGGGAAATGGTCTGAGAAGACATTGTTGGTTGTTTCTGGTCTGAGGAGACACTTTGATTTGTTGATCAGCACTTCATTTGACAGAAAAACATTGCTAATCAGATTTGCACATGTTAGCAGACCGTGTTTAAGGATGAATTGTCCAAGTTGGGCATCTCAGACATTCACCCACCAATTTGAGGGGGAGTGTTAGTCGAGATATGATAGGCGCAAATCATAGGATGTGACTTACCATATTATCTGAGACATGATAGCCACAAATCATGGATTTGACTTTATTTACGCATATATCTAGGCATAGAATATGCAATGATTTTATTCAGTTTCCTTTATTGTAATATTAACATGTGCTCTTTAGGAGAGTTGTGAATGAGTGTTTTTACATCTCATTCAAACCTTTTACATAATTCTCTTTTCTTTCTTCTAAATTATATTTCTTCTATTTACTTACCTGGTTTCTGTGTTTTAATTATACAGGCAAGCTAGAGATGTCATCAAAGCTATTAAAAAGCGCATGGGGAGTAAGAACTCGAATACTCAATTATTTGCAGTTACGGTGAGTGTATTCTTTGCTTTTCAAATATTTCTGCATGATTTTATGAAAATTTTTAGTCTTCCAATACTTTCCGAGTATTATTGTATTTGCAATGGAGTTTGTCTCTGCTCAATGTGTGCTCATGTAGCAACCCTTCAACTTGGGTATATTCCTTCTGTTAAGTAACTGTTTATTTTGCAGTTGTTAGAGATGTTGATGAATAATATTGGAGAGCATATTCATCGGCAGGTGATTGATGCAGGGCTTCTCCCTATACTCGTGAAGATAGTGAAGAAAAAGGTGATCATTTTTTCATTGTGTTATTGACTCTTGGCTGGTTTCAGTTATGCAAAGGTTAATTTTACTCATATCTTCTTTTACAGACAGAGATGCCTGTGCGAGAGAAGATATTTCTTCTTCTAGATGCCACCCAGACATCCCTTGGTGGAGCTTCTGGGAAGTTCCCTGAATATTATACTGCATATTATGATTTGGTGGTAAGCATATACCAATAGGATTTGTATATACTCAACTATCTTCTATTCAATCATTATAGGTGCAAATAAAGTTTGTTTGTTGTCTTGATGCTTTGAGATATATCCAAGGTTTTCAAACTATATTAGATCAATGTGGGTAAAGAAGTTAATCCAAAGAAATAGGCTTAAATTTGCAATTAGATAGAATGATAATTGTTTGGTAGGCACTATAATTAGAAGGAGAATTGTTTATGGCTTGTTAACTAGAATTAATTAGATATACGAAAGCAAAATAAAAAGAAATAAATGGCATAAAACTTCATTCTATTGGGAAAAACATAGAGATTGAGTACATACTAGTTGTTAAATGACTCGAGAAATAGATGCAACTGTTATCACAATAGGAGACATATTATGACTATTAATATACCGGGAGAGATGTTTGCAACATATTGCTAATGCACCCCAAGTAGGATTGGATGAACATATTTGTTTTTGATAAGTAAGAATATATTAGAAAGCCTTCAAAAGGGGAACGCATCCGAAGACTATACACAAACCAGAACAAAACAAAAGGTCCTTTGGATCCAAGGAACCCAAAAAATCAACAATTTCCTATATAGATATACAATTTCTCCCCAACACCCAGCTAAAAAGAGAACGAAAAATAAGAGATTCAATGCCCCAATGCAAGATTCCTCCCTTTCGAAAGATCTTCAATTCCGCTTCTTTCAAATGCACCACTAAACGCAAACACGCCCGTGACTTTTGGACGACGACTCCCCTTTGCGTTTGGTGGTGGATTTGGAAGAAGCGGAATAGAAGATCTTTTGAAGGGGAGGAATCTTGCACACGCTGCAGCTTCCCCCATGCCCGTGACTTTTGGACGGCGACTCCCCTTTGCGTTTGGTGGTGCATTTGGAAGAAGCGGAATAGAAGATCTTTTGAAGGGGAGGAATCTTGCACACGCTGCAGCTTCTCCAAGTATCAATCAAATTCCTCGAAGACCGAGGCATAACCCATTTACTCAGTAAACGTATGCGTATACCCTAAAGTTTCAATGGTTTTTGCAAGTGAAATATAAACCAAACACGTGGATTATGCCTCCTAACATCTAGTTTCAAGGGGGAAGCTAATGGATCATCCTAAGTTATGTTTGAAACAATTTGAAAGCAATCCACAATAGGTAATATGCTTAACTATATTGGAACATCCTATGACATGCAACAAGTTATAACCTCAAAAGTAATATCAACTTGTAAAATGAAATGTGAAATCAAACAATGTGGAAAACTTGGAAGCGGCATCTGGTTATGAACATTACAACGCAAGACAAGTAGTAGTTTCGGGCTTCTAACCCACAAGGAACCACCTAAGTGCGCACTCTATTGGGGAGAACTTGTACCTCCCGCACTAGGGCCTTACCCTATCCATGTCAATGTTTCATTGCCCCAAGTATTTTCAAAATCAACAATAGTGTCACAACAATTACATAGTTATACAATGCATTTAACCACCTTCCATGCACACTCAAATTCGAAATGCACACAAGCCATGCCCTAAGTCCTCAAGCTACAATTGCAGTTGCAATATCAAGTTCTCAATATGAGTACAACTATACTACCACAAGGTTGTCAACATAGGAAACCTATTCATCCTAACATAGTAAGTTTAAATGTCTAATTTAGACAGCAACATAGTATAACTTCACAACATATTCAATGATAAGAATAATTCTAGAATATTATAGTTACAACAAGAAAACAATACTAGAATTTATTTCTCTACTAAATGAAACAACAACTACACGAGATAAATCATATGAAGTCTTGCACAATATGAAACCCTAGGTTAGATATATACAAGATTCATCTATATACAACCCTAGAACTTTATATGACATGCATACAATGTATATCAACTACAAAGAACACAATAAACTCAAAGAATATAAACATACAACAACCCCTGCCTCACTAGAGAATTGTATCTCTAGAAACCTCAAAGAAATGGAAGCAAAATGTGAAACCAAGCAAAGTTGTGGTAGACAAGGATGTGAGGAAGATTTTGTCTTCAAGGTGCAAGACCAAAAGCCAAAGGGAAGAGGCTTGAAAGTGAGCTCTCAAGTCTAGGTATCAAGTTAACAATGGTGGCTTAAGGTGAAGAAGACAACTTGAAAATACTAGAAATTCCATTTAACCTAAAGCATTGTTAGTCACATATACTATACTAACACTACCTCTCTCTCACACACACACACATCCACCCTCCACTCGTCACCATCCTAGGCCTCCTCACAAGGCTAAATCTAAGCCTTACACTTGTCATCATCCTAGGCTAAACAAGTGTTCCAATCTAAAGTCAACAATTGGTCCAATGGAAGTGTGACACACACTTTCTCAAAATTGCAAAATAGTCCTTCAAAATATTTCAAAGAATAATTGCAAAAAGGTCCCTAAGACAAAATATCTCAAAAACTTAATTACACAAAGCACCCCGAAAAATGAAAATGTTTCCGAAGAAACTATGCATTCATACCCCCAAAATTTAAAATTAAACGAGCATGCTTTTCTATGAAATTAAATTATGCATTGACAGTTGAAAATAAAATAATGCAATGCGCGTGGTGCCGGAAATCGATTCCGGACACCGAACCCTACCTCGGGTTCGACAAAACCCTAAGGTAACCCGAAATTTAAAAAAAAAAAAAATTTGAATGTCGAAAAAAAGGACAAAGATGACGCGGTCATCACAAGGAGTGGGCCATTTTTCCGTTCAATAACTCCATTTTGTTGAGGGGTATCAACACAAAATGTTTGATGGATAATGCCTATTGACTCAAGAAACTTATGAAAAATATTAAGTTTATATTCAAGGGCATTGTTAGTTTTAAGAACAAATAATTTTGCATCAAACTGATTTTAAATTTCAGCATAGAAGGATTGAAAAACAGAGAATACTTGAGATCTATATTTAAGAATATAAACCCAAGTTAAACGTGAATAATTATCAATGAATGACACAAAATAACGAGCACCAAATAAACCAATAGTACGAGCTGGTCTCCAAACATCCGAATGTTAGACTCAAAAGGTTTTAAACTTTTATTATCAAAACGAGACTTAAAAGTAGCCTGACGATGTTTACTAAGTTCGCAAGTAGTACAATTAAACTTAGCAAAATAAACTAAAGAAGGGACCAAGGCTCGAAGACTATTTGAAGAGGGATGTCCAAGGCGGCAATGCCACTGGTAAGCTGAAGAGGATGTGGAATGTAGAGCTATCGGAGCAGTAGTTGGCTGGAAGTAGTAAAGACCATCCTTCTCAAACCCCTCACCAATCTTCTTCTTCATCTTGAGATCCTGAAAGACACAACGGGAAGGAGAAAAAGTAATTGAGCAATTTAAATCTGATTAATTTTGCGAACTGACAATAAATTGAATGAAAATTGAGGGATACCAATTCCATGAACAGGTGATTTGGCACCATTCACTATAATAACAACCGATGGTGAGATAACATGAGAAATATCAGAAAGAAGAGATGGGTTACCTGTCATGTGATCGGATGCCCCTGAATCACTGATCCAAGGTGTAGAAGAGGAAGCATGCAGACACGTATTACCTGAAGTAGCATGCTGACACATATTACCTGAAGTAGCATGCTGACACATATTACCTGAAGTAACGATAGTAGCGGTGGAGGAGGCCTGATTTTCACGCTCACACTTTACAAAAGAATCATATTTGGCTTTGGAGAGAACGACTTGTTCATTCACAGGAGTGGGAGTAGTCTCCTCCGAAACCGAAGCTTGTTTAACCCAAGTTGGCTTGCCATGAAGAGCTCAGTAGAAGTCTTAACATAGTGATTGTTTCGGCCACAATGAGTACACTTCTTGCTGCTGCGACCCCCTCTGCTGCCACTAGTACCATGACCTGGGTTGGAAGGACCTCTGCCCCCTCGTCCTCCACGGAAAGTATCATGTCGCTCAGTAAGAAGAACAAGAGCAGAGTGGTTGTCCTTCTCAATCACAGGGGCATCACTAGGCATGAATAGATGCTCTTGGAACTTGAGCAAAAGTCTCACTTGCTGTGGGTATCTCCTTGCCAGACAAAATCTATGAGCTAATCAGAGCTAGTTTGGGTTTAAGTCCAGATAAAAATTTTGCCACCCAAACTCCTCCCTGTGCCGTTTTTGTTGTTCTATGTCTGTAGTCAGTGGTTGGTAGACACTCAATTTTTCCCACATGCCCTTCAATTCTGAGTAATAATCTTCAACAGAACAATCTCTGTGCTGGAGATTAAAAGTATCCTGGTACAACTGATAAATACGAGAAATATTCTTCTTTGAAGAATACATGTCCCTGAGATTTTCCCAGATATCTTTGGCAGATTCTAGGAATGACACCTTGTTGAAGATCTCAGGCTCAAAACTGTTCCATAACCAAGTCATAATCTGAGCATCTTCTTTTTCCCAAGCCTTAATAATCTTTTCATCATTGGTGGGTTTGGTTGATTTAAGATATGACAGTTTTCCTCGAGCCCGTAAGAACACCTCTACGGCTCGAGACCATTGAAGGTAGTTTGAGCCTTTTAGTTTGGTGCTGGTGATTAACCTAAGTAGATGGGATTCCTTAGTATACATCACAATAGCTGCCGAACAAATGAGATATAGTAGCAAGAGGGAGCCGAGATAAGAGAATTAAGATCTAGCCGAGATGAACCCGAGAGAAATTATTGTGGAGAGAGCCGAGGAGGGATCCTAGAGAAATTACTGAGACGAGAACTGTGATCACCGAGGAGAGATCGCCGAGAAGAGATTGCTGAGAGAAAACCGAGGAGGGATCCGAGAGAGATTGCCGAGACGAGAACTGAGATCACCGAGGAGGGATCGTCGAGAAGAGATTGCTGAGAGAAAGCCGAGATGGAATCAAGATCGGAGTCTGAATAAGACTAAAAAAAAAATTTAAAGAGGGATCGATTTCCACTCTGATACCATGTTGGAAGAGAGAGAGAGAGAATA